TTTGTAAAAGTTGATTCAATTTTTGATTGTTTAATTGATTTGTAAAAGATGATTTGTAAAAGTTGATTTGTGTAATTGATGCGAACATAATTCTTATTTGTGCTTGTTTAATTGATTGAAATGTAATGGTTTATTTTGTTGATTTCAATCTGCATTATGTTGAAGGCAAAAATGACTATCGCAATACGAAATGAAATCGCAATGCGAAATGAAAATCGCAACGAGAGAATCGCAATGCGAAATGAAAATCGCAATGCGGAAATGAAAATCGCAATGCGTTTATAATTTCGCATTGCGATTATCTCGTTGCGATTTTCATTTCGCATTGCGATTTTCATTTCGCATTGCGATTCTTTCGTTGCGATTTTCATTTCGCATTGCGATTTTCATTTCGCATTGCGATTTTCATTTCGTATTGCGATTTTAATTTCGCATTGCGATTATGTCGGTTCGATTTTCATTTCGCATTGCGATTTTCATTTCGCATTGCGATTCTCTCGTTGCGATTTTCATTTCGCATTGCGATTTTCATTTCGCATTGCGATTTTCATTTCGCATTGCGATTCTCTCGTTGCGATTTTCATTTCCGCATTGCGATTTTCATGTTGGGATTTTCATTTCGCGTTGCGATTGTATTTTCCGTGTTGCGATAGTCAAATGCATGCCTAATAGTGATAACAACTGAATAACAAGAGTTGGTTAAGTCAAAATGGTTGGCCTGAGTCATTAATTCACTGAAAATGTTAAAAGTTCACACATAAAATCCACATAATACAACGTTTGCATATGAGCTTTTGATGGCAACGTTTACATAATACACATAAAATGTTAAATGTTAAAACGTTTACATAATACAACTGAATAACAACGTTTACATAATACAAAGTTCACACCATATGAGCTTTGGATTTTGATGAGGATCCATATTTTGGTAGAGGAAAAGATGATTTTGATGGCACTGGTGATCCACATGTCAACCTTGTATGACCACTTTCCTTGCACCGACTACATGTCGATCTCTTCTTCTCTTCACCCTTAGACGGTATACGATCGTGACTTTTTGGTCGGCCAGGTAGCCTTCTGTCCATGGCTGGTGGCAAAACTGTTTGTAAGTCATCTGGTATGTCCCACTCAGAAGGATGTGGAATAGGGTAGACAATCTCGGCATAAGTCTGTCGATAAACTTCTGTAGTGTAGCAATCCATAGCGTATGCGCTTGAATCATCTTGGTTTAAATGAAGAGCAACTTTTATAACATGGCCACACGGATAACCAGATGTTTGCCATTTCATACAACTACACGTCTTTGCATTTAGATCGACTAGCCCATTTAAGTTATTATCCAGTACTTGAAACAAAGTGTTTGAACATGGTTCAACTCTCCATGACGTTGACTTCACAACACGTTTCGTTATCTTTTTTTCAGTCCATGGTGTAACACGATGTTCCAATGTTCCTGTAAATTTAAATAAACAATACTTAGTAAAATATATAAATATGATAAGTTACGAATTCAAAGAAATAATACCTGCATGGTTTCTTTCTTGTAGTACCACTGTTGAATAGAGGCTCGAAAAAACTCCATTAACATAGTAATGGGTAATTTCCGGGAATGACGACTTAGAGCGTTGATTGATTCTGCACTATTAGACGTCATGAAACCATATCTTGCTCCAAGTTGATGTACTCTTGACCATCTTTCAAACCCGACATCTTCTAGTGTTTGAGCACACTGAGGCAAAACACGTCTTAAACAATTTATAGCTTATTGAAATCCACTTCCCGATAAGCTTTTACAGCCTTCCAGTATGTCCATTTGTGCTTTTTTATACCAGCAGACCTTGATTTTAGATTTCTATACAAATGAACACCACAAAGTCCATGAAAAGCATCTGGGAAACACCTTCTAACAGCGTTGTCAATTGAGTTTGCCCTATCGGATATGATTGTCAGATTGCTAATAAGACCTATGCAATCCCTAAGATGCCCCATAAACCATGTCCATGAATCAGAGGTTTCAGATTTGCCAACCCCGTAAGCTATTGGCAATATCCATTGTTAGCATCCATGGCTACTGCTAATAAGTTTACTCCAAGGTATCGACCTTTCAAATGTGCTCCGTCAACTATAATAACTGGGCGCATGCAAGTAATAAACGAACGAATCTACAAAATAATATACACAAGAAATATAATCATTTAAATGTGAAATGCATGTAACTAACAAAAATGAGTCAACAAAATTATATTGATTTACTAACCGTAGCACCAATGGCGATAAACAGCAACTCAAAGCGTCCATCTCTATCTGTTTTGATATGAGTTACCGACCCAGGATTTTTTCAGCTTTAAATTGTGACAATAAGCCGGCAGTTGGGCAAACGATGCTTCTGGCGACCCCCTCAACAATTCCAAGGCATAACATTTGGCTCTCCAAGCTTGAGAATATGATATACTAATCTTGAACCGAGCATTCATGTCAGTCATAATTTCATGTCCCCGATATACCCTGCCATTCAAAACATTAACTCAGCCAGAAAACCACCCAACACCTTTTTGTTTGCCTGTCTATGGTGAGGAAAAACTTGGGTTCTTGAACATGTATGTTTATCAATAAAAGTCCTAACTTGAAACATTTTGCAATCTTTTATTCTCTTTGCAATCATACGCCACGTACAGTTTTTGTCAATCATACACCTTGTTTCGAAACGATCTTTGCTTGATTTGTTAACTTTTAGTTGATAGCCATCTTCCACACATTTCGTATATAAAGCTATCTTCAAGTCTTCCTTTGTATCAAAACAATCATCTTTCTTGATACGAATAACTTTTGTGTAACAATCAACTGCTTTCTTTATCAACTCTTCTTCCGGTATCTGAAGTAATTCTGGCATATTCCAGTTATACGCCCGTGGCATTTTCTTTTCTTCGGGGACTTTTTCTTCTTCTTTTTCTTCTTCAGGATTATATGAATTACAGAATGGATGTTCAACATGTTCATTCACAGTCGTAACTTCCTCCTCATTATCATCAACATTACATTCTTCGGCAACGGCTGTTTCATCATCAAAATTCGGGTATTGACCAATATCAATATCATTACACGCATGGTCTGTTTCTTCTTCTGAAACATCATCAAAATCCGTGTATTGACCAATATCAAAGTCCGGATATTGACCAAGACCAAATTTCGAATACTGACTAGTACTCACAATTTTTGTTGGCTCATCATCGTCTAACTGGTCAATACGAAAACCGGAATTTGGTGCTGAAAGTTGATTGGGATTTGGATTAGAGAAAGGTTGTGGGTTTTGAGAAAAACTTAGTTGATTACTACCCGCTACTGACCCAACAATACTACTTCTAGGTTCAACAACATACAATGTAATCATCTTGTGAAACACTAATGTAAGCAATGAATCGTTCAACATCTTCATTGTCGGTTAACAAATAAACTTTACCATTTCTCTGATAAGATAGCCTAAATCCACTTAGGGGCTCTAAATTCAATTTATTTGAAACACGTAGCATTAGAGTTTCATAAGTTAACTTTTGTAAAGACAATTTTAGTTGAAGATTTATGGGTAAAGGCATATATTGTAAAACACCATTAACATTATCCCATGACCCTCCAAAACACAAATCTATCCAAACATGATCAACATTAGATGATTTCATGGTTGTAACTAAACAAACGAGATGCGAAACTAAGACCTGTTGCCGGATGGGAAGGATGTCGTTGGATATAGGAACGGATGTCGCCGGAGAGAGTGATAGATGGAGATGGAATGAGTTGCGATTTAGGGATTTAGTTTATGATTTCAGTGTTATATACCCAAAATTTCAGTGTTGTGATTTACAGATTCTCGTTGCGATTTACGGATTATCGTTGCGATTTACAGATTCTCGTTGCGATTTACGGATTATCGTTGCGATTTACGGATACGCGTTGCGATTTACGGATTATCGTTGCGATTTACGGATACGCGTTGCGATTTACGGATACGCATTGCGATTTACGGATACGCGTTGCGATTTACGGATACACGTTGCGGTTTACGGATACGCGTTGCGATTTACGGATACGCGTTGCGATATACGGATACGCATTGCGATTTACCCATACGCGTTGCGATTTACGGATACACGTTGCGATTTACGGATACGCGTTGCGATTTATGTGTTCGCGTTGCGATTTTCATATTCGCGTTGCGATTATGGAAAATCGCAATGCGAATTTGTACTATCGCATCGCGATTTTCAAGAATCGCGTTGCGATTCTGGAAACTGATTTGCGATTCTGGGGATCGCGTTGCGATTTTTATTTCGCGTTGCGATTTTGTTGGTCATTTTGGCAAATCCAAAAAAAGTTGGTTAAAATCGTATATTATAACTTTTTTTTGGTCACTGAGGCGATTTTCTCTTTTTGAAATTGACTCCAGTAAGCATGGTATATAATTGATATTTAACAAATATTATGACAGTAGAATATGAGCTAATCGAATATAAAACAAAAATAAACAAAAGATAAGATCATGATAATATTCATAAGTAAGCAATACAATCAAAATAATAACTAGTCCTCGTCTTAAGATACCAGGCAAATCATTAGTGTCAAGTCTTTGGATTAATATATTTCTCACACAAACTACCTTAAAATTACCACATATTTATCATCAATTGTGTCAATGAAATTCTGTAAAATATTAATTTATTTTTATCGATTAATAAACGCATGAATTACGACTACATGTAAGTATATTAATATTTTAAATAAATAAATTCATAAAAAACACTTTCATGATATTTTGTTTCAACTAATTCATTTAATATATATGCATTATCAATTAAAATTTAGAGCGAAAATTTGAATTTATATATATTAATGATGCTACTAACAAATCATGTTATTCGAAAGACTATTTTATAATTTTTAATAGTTGAGAGACTCAACAAAATAGCGTCCTATAGTCGTGGGACTATTTGAGTACTTTTAACAGCATGGTGGACACCGACCTAAGTAAGTATATCAACCATACACCAATGATACATCCCATCAACAAAAGAATGTGTGAGTTTAATTATGGGTAAACTATAAGATTAGTCACTTATGTTTTAATTTTGTTCATTTTTTTTATCAGATATATTCGCATCTGTCTTTTTCATTCCACACGGTTAATAATTACATGGTGGACACCGACCTAAGTAAGTATATCAACCATACACCAATGATACATCCCATCAACAAAAGAATGTGTGAGTTTAATTATGGGTAAACTATAAGATTAGTCACTTATGTTTTAATTTTGTTCATTTTTTATTATCAAGATATATTATTCGCATCTGTCTTTTTCATTCCCACACGGTTAATAATTAAAAAATGCTCTAACATCATAAAATCAAAGAGAATACAAAAAGTTGGGAAGGAAGAATTCGAGTGTATTTTTATAAATTCAAAAGAAATTTTAGTGATCAAATATGAAAATGATGCTATATTGAGTGACAAAAAATAGAGTAATGTCAAAATTGAACGATCAATTTAAAAAAATTTGAAGCTTACTAATCAAAATAGGAATATGGTCAATATTGGATGGTGAAAATTGTAGTTTAACCATTGTTGATATCTATTCTCCTCTTGGCTTGGTAGATGAGTGAGGATTCAGAAAAATAAATTTTCAACTTAATTAGAAATTTATTAAATTTGTGTTAAGTTTTAAAATAGAACTTGAATAACTTAAAATTTTTACTAATTAGTGGATTGAATTTTAAGTTCGAGTCAAGTTCATCAACTCTACGTGATATATATTTATCGCATATAAATATATGAAGAAATATATATATGAATATTGAATTCATGCATCCAACGCATGTGGATAGTGTATATGACTACATATAGACATGTATAAAAATCTTTTGCTGATGCAGTAGTGGTGTAGCAGTAGCACTGTAGTTCGAGAAAATAAATTATTTTTCTATTTATATTTTGGTCCTTTTATGTCATCGCTACTTATCAAGAATAGACTAAAGGGTTGGCGAGAAAAATCGTTATATGAAAATTTCAAATTCTCGTCTAAATTAGATATTTTTTTATTAATAATATATATATTTTTTAAAAATTTTATAGATTCATCTCTTAATATAAAACATACTTCGTCATTAACTTACATTATATAATACTTTTATATGACCGGAAATCTCAACATATGATTTGATTAAAGATCACATGAACTCTTGAATCCAATCAATCCATTTTAATTCTTCTATGATTAAAAGAGATTTTTATCTGTATACATTTAGAAAGTGAATATTTTGTTCTAAAATATTAAATACATCGTTAATCTAACTGGACTATTAAGTTAAATATTTCTTAAGTTTATGTTAATTTAAATTCACTTTTTAACAATGATCTCAAACAGTTAAATTTTAAAATATACTTTTGTAACATTTTTAAAAGTTCGTTTCTATAAAACTTTTAAAATCACTTTTCAAAAGATATAACAAACTCACCCTAAAAGCTCAAACACTTTTATAGTATCTAGTGCTCGAACCTAAAACATTTAGAGATAATAATTATCTTTTTTAACTATTGAGATAACTTGATTCATGTATAAAAATTAATAAAATAAAAATCAACTTGTGAGAAGATGATTAATTTATATACAAAATGTATATTTAAAATTTAAATTAATTAATAAATAATTTAATTTAATTTAATTAATTTAAAATTTATTTAAATTCTTGAATCAAATCGTTTAAATAAAAAATGGGCCGACCCAACCGATGGACATTAGACAGATCTGGTTGAAGCTATTTCTCGAGACCAAAAAAATACCGAGTTGAAGTTAAGGGAGTTTGGACACACCGTGGCATTTTCCTCTTCCTTTCAACTCCATTTCTAGTCAACTGTGTTTGTCCTCGGTTGCTTTGCTTCTGCTTATCTACCAAGTTTCTCCCCATACTCACTGTTCAACTTCCTTCTCTGCTTCTTTGTCTCATTATCGTCAATCTCAGTCACTACATGTGTCAGAAGGCACTGTCACTGTTACTGTGATGGGCTGCTTTCAGTCCAAAACCACCCTTCTTCCTCCGTCTCATCAACCTCCTCCTCTTCCTCTTGATTCCCAGAACAACCCAGATCTAGGTCCTTTCATTCTCCCAATGCCCATGCTCTTCTTCTTCTTCATTTATTTGTTTACCTGATTCTGGGTTTCTTTATTTTGTTGTTTTCAGATGGGAATGGGGAGCAACCGGCGGTGCCAGCATTCAAGGAGTTCGACCTCGCGGAGCTGCGTGCGGCTACCAACGGCTTCAGCAGCGACCTTATAGTGTCGGAGAGCGGGGACAAGGCTCCCAATGTGGTGTACCGAGGGAAGTTGAAGAACAATCGTGTGGTGGCGATTAAGCGATTCTCGAAGCTGTCGTGGCCCGACCCACACCAGTTTACTAACGAAGCTGCTGGGGTTGGTAAAGTCCGCCACAAGAGACTGGTTAATTTGATCGGATGTTGCGCCGAGGGAGACGAGCGGTTGTTGGTTGCTGAATATATGTCTAATGATACCCTCTCTAAGCATCTCTTCCACTGTATGCCTTTTTTTTCTTTTTACCCTTTACCCCTTACTACTATTAAATGGAAAAAAAGAGTTTACTCCCAGCGTTTGTGTATATTGTTTATGAAAATACCATGAATAATGCAGGGGAAAAACAGCCATTGCCATGGGAAATGCGCCTTAGAGTTGCTTACCATGTTGCACAAGCCCTTGATCACTGCAATGCTGAGAACCTTAAAATTTATCACGATTTAAATGCTTATAGAGTTCTTTTCGATGAGGTTCGCTTTGTTAGTTTCCTTTCTACCATGTTATTTCTCTGTGGTTTAACATTTTAAGTTTTTTTTTTTTTGGAGATTATGGTATGATGGTAGCTTCTTTTGAGAATAGGTGTTTTTCTTTAGCAGTTAAGGGCCCTTTCTTGTTGATTTCCCCCCCCCCATTAGGTACAGTTTTTAATTACATTTTAGAATGCCAATCCTTTCTCATATGAGAGGCCTTTAAATAGGCGGCTTCGCAGTGGCCGGCTTGGTTTTTGCGGTTTGACTGGTCTCAAAATTGATTGTTTCATCTGGATAGAGTAATAGACAATAGCATTGGCAAAATAGAAAATGGGATCCATCTGCATGCATATCATATTGCCATGCTCCATGAGTAATTATTGATTGATATGTGCTATATGTTTAAAACTCGTTCCGGACGAAGACAGAAGATCATTGGCAAACATTGACATTAAACTTGTTTTTTCTGCTTCTGATTTCATTCTGTTTCAGGATGGCGATCCTCGGTTATCCAGTTTTGGACTGATGAAAAATAGCCGAGATGGAAAAAGTTACAGTACTAATTTGGCTTATACTCCTCCTGAATTTTTGAGGACAGGTAAACTCTTCTGATTACATACTCGGAATCTTAAAATAAGAAAAAGTAGACATTATATAGGCGTTCTAAAAAGAATGGGAATTAGTTACTGAATGTATATCCCTTCACTGCTAAGTTATTTGATTTTCAACTCCGCAGGCAGGGTCGTCCCTGAGAGTGTGATTTACAGTTATGGAACTGTTCTCCTGGATCTCTTAAGTGGAAAGCATATCCCTCCCAGCCATGTACGAGACATTTGGTTATCCAAATTCAGTTTTGTTCCTTCTATTTCCCTGTTAATACTGCCCTTGGAATAACGAGTTCGTATTGTAAAAGAAGCTCCTGGAACCGAGGCTTTCGGTGTTGTTTTGTATGTTTAGGAGCTTGTTGGATTAATTAAGCAACTAAAATCTCCTTCCAATTTCACAAGCTGGTTTTCATGTTGGGAGGCAAGAAAGTCACTTTGAGATCTGTAAAATGTTAGCACAGTGCAAAATGTCTTAAAATAGAAGTAGCGAATATCTACTATACTATTCTGGAATAGACCTATAGGCTATAGGTAATGTTGGGTTTTGTCTATTGTCCTATGAGATGAGTAAGGGAAAAAATTGAACTATTATATCTATGTCTATGCACATGCACGCACAGAACAGAGACATAAACCAGATTAGCCTTGCACTCTTTCAAGAATGTGCTTTCTCTTGGTTATGCTTGGGCTGACCTTAGTATGGGACTGTGATGTTTTTCCTTTGGGCTTCTTTCTTTGATGAATGGTGACATTCGGCTTATTTATATTGCTTTTTGCTCTAGTAAATTTCTACGTCTGCCGTCAATTTTGTATATCGATTTTAACACTATTATGTGACTGTTGATTCTCCAGGCATTGGATTTGATAAGAGGAAAGAATTTGTTGTTGTTATTGGATTCTTCCCTGGAAGGACAGTATGCTAATGAAGATGCCACAGAATTGGTTGAATTGGCTTCAAAATGTCTTCAGTATGAGGCTAGAGATCGACCTGATATCAATTTCCTCCTTTCAGCAGTGACACCTCTTCAAAAGCAGAAAGATGTACAAGTTTCAGGCTATTGAACTTACTGCCATTTCAATTTAGAGAGTTTGGTGTATAGATGCATCTTAAAATCTACTAAATTAATATTCGTTGCGTTCCATAGGTCGCATCTCATGTTCTAATGGGTCTATCTAAGACGCCACCGGTGCTGCCAACTATGCTCACCCCTCTCGGAAAGGCATGTGCTAGGATGGATCTTACTGCGGTGCATGATATCTTGCTTAAAACTGGTTATAAAGATGAGGAAGGTGCAGAAAATGAGGTGGGTTATGACTATTTTACTTTCTCAAATTTATGAAATAACAATTGGCATGCATAGTTTCATGTTCTGCCGGTTGGTTTCTCTCTGATTGTCTAATTTGCCGGCACCGTGTTATTGGTGAAGCTGTCGTTTCAAGAGTGGACACAACAGGTTCAAGATATGTTGAATACAAAGAAATTTGGGGACATTGCATTTAGGGACAAAGATTTTAAAAATGCTATTGATTACTACTCAAAGGTACCTTACCTCCCTCTAATCGTTTTGTTTTTACTTCTCAGAATCTTGAGTACCTGCTGATATATGATCTAGTCCGAGTTAATAGCGTGTATTTCATGTTTCAAATGTTGATTTGCTTTTTCCCTTTAAATACAGTTGGTATCGATGATGTCCGTTCCATCTGGTACTGTATTCGTGAGAAGAGCCCTCTCATACTTGATGATCGGTGAACCAGAACTTGCGTTGAGAGATGCCATGCAGGCTCAGGTGTGCTTGCCGGAATGGCCCACTGCCTTCTATATGCAAGCTCTTGCCCTCTCCAAGCTTGGAATGGAAACCGATGCGCAAGACATGCTGAATGATGGAGCCTCATTCGAGGCCAAGAAGCAAAATGGCTGGCGTGTCTAGGCAGCAATGTTTTAAGCTTTCTGACACTAGTTCCACCCTTCCCCCTACACCTGATCCTGCCACCTTGTGTGGTGTGCCGGTGAGAGCTTGGAAGCAAATGGTGGCAGGTGAGAGGGTCATTTTGAATGTTATTAGTTTGTTAAAGGATGGTTAGCTCGAGTTAAAGAAGTGTATATGAAAAATAATCAGAGTAAGGGTAAGTACTAGGCAATGAGTTTGGATCTTTGATTCTGGTGGTGCTGAATTTTTGGAACAAATTTGGTTTGAGGCTTTAAGATGTTGGCTTTATATGGATGAAAAGTTGGGAGTTTAATAAAACTGTTCGGTCCAGAGTCTGAAATCTAGTCCAAAAGGGAGTTTTGATTAAAAAAGTGCAAGTTATGCTTACTTTTCATATCTCAACTTTCTTCTTTTGGTCATTAAACCTTAATTTAATCACTTATTTTCACTCGTGTGTTAAGTAGAAAATAGGATGACGTGAAAGTTACCTTTTCTTTTATAATCCATCAATAATCTTAAAGATCTTAGAGTTCAATCCTATTTCATGTTTCAATCAACACCCTCCGTTGATATCGTTCTTTACTACTTTTGACGAAAACAAACTTGTTTTATTGTATTAATCACTTAGTTTAATTTCCTAAATTAGCCTTTAAATTCTTCAAGTTTTGACCTAAAATCAGGAGAAAATGATTTTGGTCATCAATTCTCATTGTGGAACTAGGATTGTATTACTCCTCATTTCCTTCTTTACCTTTTTACTGTTTGAATTTGATAAAAACATGTTCTAGCATCAACAAATCAAATAGAAGGGTATTCTCATAAATTTTAAAAATAGTATTTAAGTATTTTTATAATTTTAAAAGATGGATGTCATGTTTACGTGGTTAAATAATTAAAAGTGTAATAGTCAAAAACAAAATAATGTCAAAATTAATTCATCAATTTTTTAAAAGTTTAATGACAAATTATAAATATAATTAAAGGTAAAGTATCCATATATCCCTTAAAACAAGCAATTGAATATTGAAAATTACAGTTATATAATAAAACTCAATGGTGATCAAGAGTAGAAATATTCGTCAGTCAATCAACCACTATATATATATATATATATATATATTTGGTAAATATGGGTGGTAATTGAGTGTAAAACAGACAAATTAAAACAAGATAAAGGATTGAATTCTATTGAAAACAAAATTGATCCACGTGTACATGAGAAGGATGAGTACGTGTTGACTTTAGAATTTGACTTTTCTTTAATTAATAATTTATTTTATTAATGGTATTCATCTTAAATTTTATTTAAAAATTATATTGTCACTTTTAAAAATATTTTTGAATTCAAAGCTACAATGTTAAAGTATGATAGGGACTTCATGTGCGTGTGGTTGGAGAGATGTCTTCTTTGTTTCTTTCTATCCGTATATCTCTAATTGTATGCCTAACCAATAACATGAATCATCTTTGCTTTTCTCTTCAATCCCAATCACACCCGCATACCAACAATCTCATCCACCACCCATTCTTCCTTCCATTTGTTCTACCTTTAGGGCACATTTGATTTTTCTTCAAACGCACTATGTCTTTTTTTAGTTATCGGTTGATTTAATTTTGATTAATTCAGTTCGGTCACCGATCGAATTAATCGTTTGAACATCTCTAGAGACTGAAAACAAACATAATATAACACATTAATTCAGGTAGACTACAAGTTCAGTACTTAAACTGTTACTTTTATAATGGTTTGGATTCCAAACTTTATTTTTTTTAAATAATACCTAGGTTTCATTTTGATATCCCGTTGTTAAAAACTTATTGATGATGTGACGTGTTACCATAATATAATGTCACATCATCATTAAAAAATTAAAAAATAAATATCACATCAATAATTTTGTTAATTTTTTAAGGACGGACACCAAATTGAAACACATAAACTAAACTTTAGGTATGATTTTGAAAAAAATAAAGTTTATGTACCAAAATAAAATAAAAGTAATAGTTTAGATACTAAATGTGTAGTTATCCTGTTAACGTTTAGGGGACCGCGAAATATAGTTAAATCATGAAAATTTTAAAATCAAAATATAATTTTATCATTGTTTTAGTTTATAAATATATAAATTTTAAATGAGACTAAATTGAAATACTATCATTTTTAGGGGATAAAATGAATTTTATGATTATAACTTTAGATTTTAAAGGGACTAAAGAATACATTTTACCATTTGAGGAGAAGGCCCTGCTTCCACTCTTATTGTGATAAATTATGCAAATTGTAATATGACACGTAAAATAACACAAATTTATATAAAACGAATTATTTATTTATTCAAATATGAAAAAAAATAATAACAAGGACAAATTAAGGCATGGCCCTGACCCATTTGTACACGATAATGAATAATACACATTTTTTTCAACTTTCAATTAAATGAAAATTTTTAAATTCAATTTAACCTATTTTAACATAAATTTATCAATTTTGGTCCTTAAAATCTTTTAGTTTTATATTACTTAATTTTAACACTAAATTTTTTATTTATTTTTTAAACGATTTCTATCTAAGAGAGTAATGAGAATTTTATTCTTAATAAATATTGAATTCATAGCCTAAGAGAGATAAGAGATGTTAAATGAAAACTATTAATTCATTTGTTTTATAGATTATTGACCAAAATTCTTTATTTTTAATTTTAAATACCAATATAAAACGATATAAAAATACAGACACAAACATAAATAAGGTTAACATATATACATCTCAATAATAAATCACCTATCAGATAAATAAATATGCTAAAAATAGTAAAGGAAAAGTTTAAATGATAAATAAATTCATAACCTAACAATTTTCTTTTAACAATACCAGGTAATTATAAATTAATATATATTTAAAAAAGTTTCAAATTATTGACAGATCACAAGTAATTCAAATGTGAAAAATGTTGTATAACTCAACAATTTTTTTTAATCTATCAAGTAACATCAATAGTAAAATGAAAGATTATTTTTACTAGAGATTTTAAGTTTAAATAGTTGAATCTTTAAGATATGCGTTATTATTAGGTTAAGAAAATGATTACAAAATAATATATATTCTAAATTTTTTAAATATTAATAATCATACACATTGGATAAACATAATTGATTGAACATAAAATCTTTAAAAAATCAACATAAATGCATTAATAAATTACCAAATTCTAAATATTTAAACATTTTTCTTTAATAAATCCAATTTCAATAAATTTAAATAGAAGTTACAGCCTTACTAGGTGATTCCAGGTAGATGTCATTAAAGAGAACCAAATCAAATCAATCCACTAATGAAGCTGACAAAAGAGCAGTAGTGGGAAGCAGATTGGTGCACATTGGTGGTCCACAAAGTCAAGTTTCTTTCACGATTAAAAAAATAAAAATTTATCAAAAGTATTATTATTTTTATTAATTTTATTAATATTGAGCGTTTTATCGGTTTTTTTTCTTTTTTTTATTAATTTTATTATTATTAGATATTTTATTAAAAATATTAAAAATATTAATATTTTAAATAAAAATAATAATATTTTAAATAAATTTTTACTTATTTTATTATTTAAATAATAACAAAAAACCAACGGTATAACTTCATCCTCAAACCAAAAAAAAGTTGTTTTTCTTTATTTCTTCAGTTTTTGTTTTTATATTTTATCCTATAATAAATGGTAATAATTGATATATGGTACCAACAAATACACTTTCCTTGTTTGTTTATCTCAGCTGTCATTACCGAATAATTCGGTTGTACGAGAGTGATATTATACAGCTAAGAAAGATTTTATAAAATATATTAATATTTTTTTAATATTTTCAGTAAAATACTAATTAAAATATTTTTTTTAATCAAAAATGTTAGTTTTATTATCTAATTTCTGATAAAAATAAAATTTTAGGTAATGTTTAATATTAACATTTTCAATAAAAAAATTTTAAATAATACTTTATTAAAAATATTAAATATTTTAAATAACACTATTAAAAATATTAAAAAATATTAATATTTCAAATAAATCTTTATTTAACCTGTATATTACCGTACCTGAGACATATCGTAATTGCCTTTGCAGACCACTATATGTAAGTTGGATACTGTGTTTGTACTCACTTCTTTGTGAGAGCAAGTGGTGTCTTCTTCTTCTTCTTCTTCTTGTTGCTGCAATGGAAATCATGGGTTCGATGTGGTTGATGGTGGCCTTGGCCACACTGGGTGGCTTTGCGTTTTTGAAATGGATACCGAAGAGCGTGAATCCGTGGGTGTACGAATCCCCGTTGGGCGATTTGCGGTACTCTCTGCCGCCGGGGGATTTGGGTTGGCCTGTCATCGGCAACATGTGGTTGTTTCTCCGAGCTTTCCGGTCCGACGAGCCCGATTCCTTCATGGGTTCCTTCGTTTCCAGGTACTTTTCATTACGCTTTTTAGTAAAGATTTAAACTTTGATACGTACAAAGGATGGAAATGTTGTGGGTGGAATGGTGGATGATGATCACTTCATTTCCCACTTTCGTTTTCTTAATTAAAATATTACAAAATACAAGGTAAAGGTGTAGTTTTTTTTGACACCATGTGAAGTGAGTTTAGCCTCAACTCGGTGTCTTCTAGTTGAAGACCCACCAGCTCCTGTCTCGAGAATGGAGCAGTTGCATCTTTTGTCGCCTACTGCAGTCTTTCAGTATCTCACTATTTTCCCAGACATTCCATTTTAGCTCAGTCTTAATGTACTCATAATGCAGATTTGGACGCACCGGAATATACAAGGTCTTCATGTTCGGGTGCCCGAGTGTGATCGTAACGACGCCGGAGACAAGTCGAAAAGTGTTGAATGATGATGATGCATTTAAGCCTGGATGGCCTACTTCCACAACCGAGCTCATCGGGAAGAAATCGTTCATCAGTATTTCGTATGAAGAACATAAGCGTCTCCGCCGTTTAACTGCAGCTCCCGTCAATGGCCATGAAGCACTCTCCATTTACATCCCCTACATCGAGGAGATTGTGATATCTACCCTGGACAAATGGTCCAAGATGGGGAAAATCGAGTTCTTGACCGAGCTCCTAAAGCGAAGAGGTAATGGAAGCTTTGGAGAGGGAGTACACAACTCTCAACTATGGAGTTAGAGCCATGACAATCAATATCCCAGGGTTTGCTTACCATAAGCCCTCAGTAATGGAAGCTTTGGAGAGGGAGTACACAACTCTCAACTATGGAGTTAGAGCCATGACAATCAATATCCCAGGGTTTGCTTACCATAAAGCCCTCAAGGTGGAAATTTCACACTTCT